ACCAATGTATGAGATGTCCCGCAATAACACTGCAGTGGATAACAGCATGGCTTACATCAAGTCATCGATGGTATCAAACAAATGACAAACCATTCAAATCGGATGTCTTCACGTCTTGACACAACTGATTCACATCCAAAGTGTCGCAAAAGCGACTGAAAAGCAGTCTTTTGGTCATAAAGTGAGATAACATCGGAAGCAGTGGTTTGGCTGTAAACGCTATGCATTTGCTTAACACTGACATCATTACCATAATTGTCATGAATTGTATGAAAACCCCTTAAATGACAACAAATTTGAATGACATCTAAAAGTTGACAATTTGTGCCAACATTTGGTGACACAATGTTTGAATGGGTTCTCAGTTTGCAATCACTTTCACTGAACGCATGCTTATGTGTGGGGGCAGTGAAGGGGCACTCAATGAAAGCGTTACGCTATATGTGTTTGAATCATACGATTGTGTCATTCATTCAAACATTGTTTACGAAAACAACACATTTGTGGCCAAAGCGTGGATCCATTAAGTGATCACTCGTTAACTCAATTCACAAGCGAATCGGTGGTCAATATCTGGCGCGGGATGTCTGGTAGACGTGCGATGGGAGTGGTGTTGGTGTGGGGGATGATGTTGGGGGGAACGCCAGCCCAAGTGAACCCCAACTCCCTGTGGCTGAACTCACGAGGAATGTGGTTGTCGTATGCGTGCGGAGTACTGGTCCTCCATCTGGCGCTCCTCTCCTTCCCCTTCCTATCGGTGGCCACCGTCTGGACCCTCACTAATGTCATCCATAATCTGGTAATGGTTTGTCTCATGTCTTGAGATAATTATCTGTTTATATTAGTGTCTCTTATGACGGATAATGAGTCTAATTGTGTGTCAAATGCAAAGTCTAGCCATTGGTGTGATATCTGGTGTGATGTGGACTTCATTTCATGATTGCATTCACCAGTCGTTTCATAGGAAATCATTTTATTGTAGAAATTAATTAACTTTTTGTTGCTTTCATAGCATGTGTTACGCAATCATCCATTTGTTTGCATGTATTTAAACAACTGTTGTGTTTGTCAACACATTTATGACAAGCGTTTGCGTTTGAGAGCTATTTTTGTGGCTATAATTATGCCACACATTGTCTCTATTGGGGCTAATTATGCTAACTCTTTGTGTCTACTGTACTGTACGTACTGACAGGTGATGTTCGTGTTCCTGCACGTACTGAAGGGCACCCCCTGGGAGAGTGGAGATCAGGGGAAGGTTAGGAAACTGACGCATTGGGAGCAGATAGACGATGGCATTCAATTCACTTCCACCAGAAAGTTCTTAACAGTGGTTCCCATTATATTGTAAGTATAAGTCGTGTCTGTAATCCAATGAATGATTATGTGATCGACCGGTGCGGTGGACATGCATTTCACGTGAGACTCGAGTGGCATTTTAACTAAACCATTGATAATGACTTAATAATGAATTTAAATGCCATCCCCTGTGCGGTGTATGTCCGCCCACTTTGCATCATTCGACTCATTAGTGTATTATTTGATTGTTTTTTAATGATTTGTCAAACGATTAGGTTTTTTCTGACGAGTTTTTACACGAAATACGATTCCTTCCACTTTGTGGTCAACTTTATAGCCCTTCTGTTGGTGTTGTTACCAAAATTACCACAATTTCATTGCGTCAGACTCTTCGGCATCAATAAGTACTGAACCCAACTGTCTGTCCCGACACATCGAGTGCTGTACTTCCGTAATGATATGAATTTGAATTAGTTTTGTAATAACTTTTGTTAGTTATATGAGTAATAATCAAATAATGACAACAAAGTGAAAATATAATTATTATTGTATTTACTGTTAATAACTTTGAAATATATGAATTGAATAAAATTGATTTTTATTTTAAAATAATTATAGCATTTGTTTTTTAGTTGCATTATTAGGTTTTATTAATGAATATTGTGATCATGTGTTGTTTACATTTAATGGACTTTTCTAGAAATTAATTGTGAAAATTATTTTTACAATATGATTTATAAAGTAGCGTCATTTTACATAACTACCGGTATAAGTTAAGTCATTCATACTGTACCTATTTGTATAAATTTAGATAAAATTCTATACTTACCGGTAATAATTAAAAATATTTTAATATACACGTTATGTGACAAAATTAATAAATTATGAATAAGCAAACTCATCACATTTCTCATACTGTAGTAATTGTCTACCTGTACTAGGCAATTATACTGTATTATGTAATCTAAAGTTGATTATAATTGTACATTCATAATAATCACAAACTATACTGGTACTTCTAACTGTTGCTGTTGTTTGTTGTGGACTAAAATTTATTGTTTAGTATTTACAGAGTTATTACTTACTGTTATAAATGGCATTATATAACAGTTAATGCGATAGTTATTAATAAACAAATGTGTAATAAATGTATATTTAATGAAAAACACAGTAATTGTAGGGAAAAACTTGTTTCGGCAGACAATTGACGTCATGTATTGATTGCGTTATGAAATGCAATGTTTTTTGTGTGCAAAAAGTCAATGCCATAGAAACCAATGCTTTGTAAATACAGGCATTCAGTGAAACACAATCTNACCAAAACGCGGATCAATTGGTTTTCGCACTACTCGTCAGGTCTTATAAATTCAATTTCTTCAGCGTTTACTTCAGACACAGATATCTGTCAACACTTGAGGACCTGTTTAGTGATGAGTCGGACGACTGTCACGACTGGGACGACATAAACGAGACAATAGTTGCCAACCAATGGAATAATGGACTCGAACTGGACTTCCGGTCACTCAGTGATCGCCAACTGATTGGCAAATGTCTGGCATTTATGGCACACTTTGATCCACACTTGCATTCATTAGACACTGAAGTCTACGAGTGTTTGAAGTGATTGTATTGAATGCCATCCAAAGAAGTGTCTGTTTATACGGTAATTACCGGAATAAATGACAATATATTCTATGACTACAGTATTTGAACATAAAAATGGATACATTTATTGTATGACACAATTGGATACAAAAATAAATTGATTGAAATTATAAATTATTTGAAAAATTGAAAGTTTCATTTGGTTTGCATTCAAACAGATCATTGAACTCATTGTACAGAGTGTTGCAAACGAGCCATTCCTCCAGTTCTCACATCACTGACTGATACTCAAGAATAGACCGCAAAGAGTTGACCACAAGTTTCTGGTGGTCTTCGCGACGAAAGTCCAATGTTTGCCACTCTTTGACCACCAATTGCTCGGATCCGTCGAACTCTGTCCGCAATTGTCTTAAATACGTGTCACTAATGTCTGCCCAATAGAAGTGAAACAGATGTGAGCGCACGAGTAGTGCAAACAGTTGTGACTTCTGGTGATAGTCGACGCCATTGTCACCACAAATGTGTTGATTGCGAAGAGCAGTGACAATACACTGTCCGATGGTCTGCGCTCTCGACTTCTCGTAGTCTTCATCACTGGTTATGATCTTACAGTTAGTGTTGAGAACAATGTGTTCAATGGGTTCACTGTTTTTGCGATAAACAGATGCGTCCGCTCTGGAAGTGATGCAGTGATCGACGAGTGTCTCCTCCAGAGTGCGTTGAGTCCAATCAAAACAATGATCCAATTCTATGCTATAGAAGAGATTGATTGCAAAGTTATGGACGAAAGTCTTGTGATAACTCTCGGCGTCTTTCATGTGCTGTAAAACGCGTTCAAAACTCTTCGTTAAAAAGCGATTCGTTTGAAATTCTGTGTTAAATATAAACAGAATATTCTGTTCACACGAATACTATTATACCAAGAGATCAACGATTACCTGAAGTCATGTGAGGACTGGGAAGCAGTGGACAGTCATTCGTGTCTTCAGTCAACTTAATTGCCAACAAATCCAGAGTCTGTGGCGTAAAGTATTTGGTGTCCAAGAGATCCAGTTCCCCATCCGTGTCACCACCTGTTTGTACGACACGACTGTTACCCCAATAATCCATGTCTTATATCACATGATATACTCAACCCCATTCCTCCCTCTCCCTAACGTCTCGTTTGAATGCCTGTCCGTCGAGTGTCCGCACGAATGGAGTGTCTGTCCCGTAGTGTCTGTACCGACAGTACTGTCGATACAATCGCTTCCCTATGAAAGCACTCCCTCTGAGCACTGCATTCATAACTACCACTCAAATGATTGTCATATGAATTGAATTGCAATTGATTTGCATTTAAATAATCGCACAAAACATATGATAGGACAACACTCACTGCACAAACACAGCATAAACTCCCACCAGAATGGGCTATATTCCCAGTAAAACACTGTTCGTCAATGCACTGCATTGTGTCAAACACTGGGAATGAATGCATTCATTGAATACAATAGCATGAAGTCAATGACCGGTGAATGAAATGACACTCAACTCGTGCTGCCATCGTATGACAGATGCAGACAAACACAACAATCGGTGTTTACATTGAATTGAACGCAAAAAACATTGACTTCAATGCAAACACTGCTTTCCATTCACTACTCAATCACCTATTGATTGAACACTCGTTTCGAGTAAT